CCTTATTTAGTCTTCACAATAGCTTATGTCATTGAATCCATTTTACACCTGAGGAAGACTGAGGCATACACAGGCAGTAAACAACAGAGAATTATTTAATTCTACAGCTTTTGTTTGACTGTCTTGTGCTTTATTGTTTACATCAGAGGCTCCTAGACTTACGGAACTCTCAGACCTATAACATTTCAAAAATGATTTTGGGGAGCAGAACCCTCTGCCAAGTTTTTACTTAGCCAAGGACCTAAAAAGTACCATCTCATAGCACTATGATTTCAAAGGGCATTTTAACACGGAAAATGCAGTAGGATATAATGTTAGAATAAAGACAGCCTTCTAAGAAAGGACAGTTGGCAACCTTACCCTAAAATATCCTACATTGTTCTCTCTTTTTTTGGAGAGGTTTGTTCAATTTCAAGCTGAACTGGCCAAAACCTTGGCATTACATGGTTTAAGAGCCACTACCCTACCCCAAAGCTGCCCTTTTAAGCAAGAACAATACCCTCAGCCCACAAGCAAATAAACTTCCAGAATTTCCCAACTCCAACTCTGCCCATCCAGGTCCCCACCAAATAAGGTCTGAGGCTGATATATAATAATGAGCCATATCCCCACCCCACTCCTAGCAGGTCTTCTGAATCTCACTGACATTCAGTATCCCTTCCAGGGAAGGAAGCCCATCTTCCTCAGCCCTTTCCTTAGACCCAGATCTTTTCTAGGTTTGCATTCCAGGAACACACAAGCCTCTCTGCAACCCTGCAGGAAGCACATTTGTCTCCTGGAGGTACACAGTTCCCCACCAAAGCTGAGAGCGCAGCTCTTCTCCCCATCGCAGTTCAGAGGCAGGGCCTTTTCCTTCCTAGGATCCCCGAGTCCTCTCCTTTGTGTTACCAGAAGAACCAGAGCAGACCCCAGGCTTTCTCTGAAGCATTGGAAAGAGAGGATGTGAGATCTGGGTGGGGTAATGGGGAGAGCACAGCTTGGGAGGCTCCCTTCTCTACCTTCTCTCTGTTTCAGCCATGCCAGACTCAGAACCGCCTCTCCCTCATTTGTGCCCACCCCCGCTCCACCTGAGTGAGTCAGCTGGGCAGCAGAGGAGTACCTGACATGGGGAGACCTTGGTTGGCATTCCAGCTCCATCATTTTCTTGCTGTGGGATATTCGGCAAATTGCTTAACTATCTGTGCTTTGGTTTTCTTACTTGCAAATGGGAGTAAAAGTGTTAGGTCGAGCCATGAGAAACTGTAAAACTGTGACCAGATTTGGCCCACAAAATCTCATGTGTTTAACAAGTAAAGTGCTGGATACATTTCTCTCACCAAATATGACCTCTTCCTCCAGGAAGTTCTCCCTAGCTATCCCAAGCTCAGCGAGGTCCCTCTTCTCAAATTTCTGAGGAATGATTTAGTATACACTTCTTTCCTGTCTTGAGTTTTCTCCTCTTTTCTGAGTCTAGATAAGTTTTAATGCCCCATAACTTGGAGCCCATCAGGGCAAGACCTGGGTATCCTCAATCTCTGTCCTCCTGACTGCTGGCATGCTACAGCATTCCTCCATTAGAGTTTTCACATAGAGGAGACAAGGAGAGGCCAGGCCTGGCAGGGGTTACCAAATGCTTATCTTATCTAGTGATCATTTCTGTATCCAAGAGTGGTCCTAGATGGTCCTGAGTGGTTGACGCTAAACAAATTGAGGGTGGGGAGGTGCTAGAGTGGCAGGAGGCAGCCTGTGGCAGCAGAATCCCAGGAAGCAGAACCTTGGTCATATCCTCTATCTACTTCAAGGATCCCTTTGATGGCATTAGCTAACTTCCAGGGTCCCTCACTCATGCATACAGTTGACATTTATCGATCTGCTTATCGTCCATGCTTTGTTAGTTCTGAGGTCCCTGGGATGAGTAGGACCTGTCCAACCCTCAGAGAATTCAGTCCTGAAGGGGACACAGACCACACTACATAATCAGTGCTCAGATTGATGGGACCTTACAGGACATGGAATCCAAAAAGGGGGAAAAGGCCCAGATTTGCGTGGCCAAGAAAGGATTCCTCAAAGAGGGGGGATGCCCCTACCATGGGTCACTGGGAAGCCTGCTTGGACTGATTTCCTGAAGCTGGGATAGGGCAGGCTAGCCACTCCCCCCACCCCACCCCACAGAAGCCCACAAGCAAGTTAAATGAAAGTCTTCCTACTGTGGCTGGCTGGCACACCAGGGCAGACAGGGCTCATCTGGTTAAGAACACTCCTTCTCAAGGAGACCCAAGGACATTCAAGGATTAGGCCTCCCAGCATCTGTGCAGAGAACTGTCAGCTCAGAGCTGCTCAAAAGTAAAACTGCCAGCTAGGGGTGATGTCATCACCCTAGTAGTTCTCTCCTCCCCCACCATGGGATGTCCTGTGGCCTAGTGGGTAAAGCAGAAAAGACCCTGCCAGGCTACCCATGCCCCTCCAGCTTGCTCCAAAATTTTCTTCTCTGAATGAGGTGAGGAAGGTGGTCACAAGTGGGCTAAGAATGAGAATAAAAAACCCTTTGAAGAAAAACTTTGTTACTCCTCAGAGAGATGGCAGAGCTAGGGGACCTTACTGCCTCCCTCCTGTCAGACTTTGCTGAGGATCCACTTCAGCTTTAACCCAAACTCCAACCTTCTCTGGCCAACCCCTTCCCTCTAATGCCCCATCTCCATTTCTGAGCTAATCTTGGATGTTGCCCTAAGAGGATCTAAGTAACCCCTGGGCCATCTTGGCGGCCCCCAGGCCAGAAAGAGGGGGTCTGGCCGCTCGGCTGTGTGGGAGGTGTCAGGATGTCTTAGGGTATTGGAGAGGAGTAGAACTGTATTATATATCTGGCTGAGCTGGTGGGATTCGTACGGAAGTCTGGAGACTGGACACAGAGAGAGACGACACACAGCAGGATCACCTGCTGGCCTGGGGGTGGAAAGCGGACTCAAAGGTAGTGGAGGTTGTTCAGCTGCTTGGGGGTAGGGGACCTGGGTGAAGCAGGAACCCACCTAGCGTTGGTCCACATAGGGAAGTCACAATTTGGATGAGACCTAGGGAGGAGGTCCACAGCTAGCCTCAGAGTGCCAGGTCACCAGAGGAGCCCGCCCGCTGTCTCCTTGCTGCAGCTGGCTGGTCTCGGAAACCCGCATCGGAACCATACCGGAGAGGTGCCTACTGGGATCGGACTCCGCGGCCGTGACTGCTGCAGGCACATTTCCTCGAAGTCTTACCTCGAAGGGCTGGGTCCCACCCGCTCGCCCTGTGCGTCCCGCGGAGTTCCCGCCACGCTCCCCTTGCCCCGCCGCAGCGAGGCTCGGGAGGGGAAAGACCGGCGGGAAGATCGCCCCCAGCCCGCCTCACAGGAAAACCCCAGGAGCAGCCCCGACGCAGTGCAAATCCCGGAAACCCCCTCTCCTGGCGCGTTGCGGGAAGGCCGGGGACTCCGCATCCAGACCGCCCGCTGGCCTCCCAGGAGGAGGGTCGGAGACCTAGTTGAGAAGCAAAACCGCCAGGGAAAGGCGAGACCAGGGCTCCGAGGAGAGACCGGGAAACCCCGCCCCCCAATCTTGGGGTGGGGAATTGGCAACCCAAGCCGGAACCCTAGACTTGGGGCGCGGTCCCAGCCCTTGGCCAAGGAAAGATATTCGAGGGTTGAATATTGAGGAGGCATCTCACCCCAGTCTCTAAGGTCCGGCGAGGGTGCACCCAGCTCCCCCCGCTGGGCCTGTCCCCCCGCCCCCTTTCCCTCACTCGCCCCCCGGCCCGCGTCTCTGTCCCTTTAAGAAGCCCAGGTAGGCAGGCCCGGCTGCGGGAGCCGCTCCTATGGCAACCCGCGAGCTGCGGCGGCTTCATGAATATTCCGGGGCGCGGGAGCTGAGCTCTGCCGGAGGGCGCTCTGGGGGAGGCGGCCGCTGATGTAAGCCCGGCGGGCCGCTGGGCTCCGCTCGGCTGCGGCGGGAGC